TACTGATACACATATGTTATGTAAAGATGTGAAACATGTAATAATAAAAAGACTCATCTTTAATTTTATTTGTGATATGTAAATTTGAACTTTAGTATAATGTATTTTATTTTTGGTTATTCTCTCAATTTGTTCATGTCATCTCTTCTTGAATAGTAGTACGATGTTTCAAATGAGCTCCATACTATTCCGTTCTTCAAATAACTTTATTCTGAGATAACGTAGCATGTTGCAAGAGGCAGAAGAAGGCTTTAACCACAAAAGAAATGATAATTCGTCAAGTTAATTTCATTTTTTGTTACATGTTTAACATTCGTATACATGCACATATTATGATTGCTTCGCGTATTTTCTTTTAGGAATAAGAATAATTATGCAATTGTTTTTTGACCATAGACACTACTCCGTATTTCGTAACATTTGAAAGTTAAGGGATTATTAACAAAAAACCACAATAATTATTATCCATATGACTTTAACAACAAATGCACCCAAGCAACTTCAACATGCCATGCAAGATCTCACAACAAATGTATCCAAACAGTTCTTATTACAGGACACAGCTATATACACATGGCAAATGGTCCGTGCTTTCATACTACAATAATCCTGCTACAAACAACACTCGTAGGTAAGCAAAGCATGTTGTTTTATTCAATGTCTCTTGTACTAGAATGTCCATAAGAGGCTTGATTGAGTGTGGGATCATTTGATGTACTTGGTAAACCAGTTCAGCATGTCTTGACGGGATTCTTCCGCACTCTGCACTGCTTTCTCATCCTCAACATTGTACCTCACGCTCCACCCGTGCGCAACCCCGGGAAATATTTTCACAAAGGAACCTACCTGTTTAATTTCAATCAATACACCTTTTATTTAATGAGTCTCACATATGTTTATGTGTACAAGAGTAACAAGTGATTCATGTTATAAAAAAGGTTGTACCTCAGTTTTCTTTTCACAAGTGGCTATAAAAATGCTATAATAAGTCTCAAATATGTGCACTTTTCTTTACGCATACCTCAGTTTTTGGTGAAAGAATCTGTTCAAATTGTTTAAGAAGCTCGGGAGGGGACATGGAATCATTTTCTGCCCCCAAAATAGCAATAGGTGTCTTTACCTCTGACAAAAAAAACAAAAAGAGGTTCATGTTATAAAAATGGTCGTCTACCAGACTAGTTTAAGAGTTATAAAAAGATGCCAAGACTCATACGCTTAATATCATCCACAGTAACAAATGATGGGTGCAGTAGAACGGCAGCTTGAATGAAACCAGAGTATGCCAAACTCACAACCACCTTAGCTGCAAAAGACATTTTTATATCAGAATATGCTTGGAGGAGTCAACAACATAAGAAATTAAGAACTGAACTCAGTAGAACTCACCACCCCAGCAGAATCCTGCAGCTCCTATTGAAGAGATTCCTCTGCTTTTTAAGGCCTCAATAACAAGCTTTGCATCTTCAAACCCCTTGTCCTACAAAGCAAACAAAACCCAAGTGTTCATCCATTACGACACTAGTGTATCACAGTAAGGCCGTGTTTGGTTCACTTCAGTATGGGCATTAGGTATGGGCATGGAATCTCATCATAATGCCTCTTGTTTTGGTTTTAGAAAATGATTCCTACCCATTTCCTCCTACTCCCAACCCTTTCTGGTTTGGGGAATCATTTGCCTGCCATTCCCAAATCAATTAACTTTCTCGACCCAACATCACTTCGAATGCCAGTCCCCCAGTCGCAAACAGTTATGGCATGTTCTTTGCTTTTGCAGGTGATTTCAAGTGCAAATTGTATTTCCGAAATCCAGAGAAACCAAAGCACTAATTTTACTAAATACAAACTAATCAATCGAATTTCATTTGTCATGCCGAAATCCATAAATTCTGCCTCATGCTTGATTCCAAACCAATAAAAGAAAACCGAACAGGCAATTTACTGCTTCCCCCATGTCTTTTAAATTCGGTTTACGGGTGGATAATTTATTGCATTGTGAAATGGAGAATTCATCACAAATCACAAAACTGATGACCATGGAAAACTTATTGCATTATGAAATGGCATAAATAGGTTCATCGAGTCAAAGCCAGAAAACGCACCGCTCCATGTGCTTGAATCCAGACCCCTATTGGCTTGCTTTCTGGAACGTAAGGATCACCCTGAAAAAAATCAGGAACCACGACATAGTATCCGCTGGCTGCAACTTTGTCTGCTATTACCCTTCATTCCACAAGGTAGCAGAAAATTCAAACACTACTCCAGCAAATAAATGAAGTAAAGCAACAAGGAGAGAGAATTCATTTCAAATTGCAAAGTGAAAACTACAGAAAGCAGTAGCTTTTCTTGTTTAGTCCATTGCCCACCAACTATTTGTTTAAAGTTCTAGAAAGAAAAACCTTCTTCACAACAAAAATGATATAAATGCATCAATTGACTGAAGAGTCGGGTCGGAAGATAAGGTCAGAGCGATATTTTGCAGTTCCGATCGTGAAAATGAAAGTGAATCCATCTAGACAGTACCTGAGATTTGGAGCTTCATAACCTGCAAACCAATCAGGAAGAGGAAGAGAATTGAAAACTATAATTCCATCGAAATTACTACTGTGAGGGAGAAGCTAGCGAGACGGACCGTAAACGTCGGAGACAAGAAGGATAGCGAGGTTGGAATCGGAAGAACCGGTGATGTAGGACTTGAGGCCGCCGAGCTCCGCCACGGACCCAGCGCCACTGCTCGGATTCAGAGTGGGTGGATTCGCACAGCACTGAGGTCCAGACATCTTCTTGATTCTGATCCGATTCTCTTACAGTATAATCTATGGCGGCTCGGCTTTGGATGGATTGAGATACTGGATTCCTAGTGATGAGAGTGCCGTGAATGGTGAACAAGAACATGCGATTTGCCAAAGTTTATAAAAAAATCATAATCCTCACTTCTTATTTGTGCAGTTTTGACTTTTTTCTAGTCAAATAATATAAATTTTAAACTTCAAAAATTTTCAAACTGTAATGAATTTTAGTATAAAATGATTTAATTAGATTTATCTTATTAAGAATTTTCAAGATTGTATTTCATTATACCAATATGCAATACACATTGAGAGTAATTGAAGTTTAAACTTTGTTTAATTTAACTCGAAAAAATCAAACTGAACAAATTCACTGCGACGGAGCTAGCATAAAATTTATACAAGTAAAAAAATTCTATTAATGGAAATTGAATTCTTTTTCGAGATATACAATAATATAATGAGGAATATAAACTACTCCGTATAATTTTGTTATATTTATTACCATAATACTAACTATTGTTTAAAAAATAATTTATATAACTTGATTTGTTATTGTCAGGGTCAACTTTTTGAGTCTTGATTAGGGTCATCGAATCTTCAGGATCGAGTTCGGTCAATAAGTGCTCGTATCTTAAAAATAACAAAAAATAAAAAATAAAAAAATAGAACACGATGATGTAAATTTCACGGATAGAAAAGTAGGTTACCGGCTTGTGTAGATAAACCTAACCGGTTTATTAAAACAAATATGAAAGTAAAGAACATACAATGTATGACTTAGTCCGGAGCAAATATTCTATTTTTTTATTCTTTTTCAAGAGTGGACTATTCCCTCCGTCCCAGTGTATTTGTTCAGTTTGACTTTTTCGAATCAAACTGGACAAATTTTGAGCTTTAATTAAATAAAAAACGTAAAGTATTTTAACATAAAAATGACTTTATTGGATTTATCGTATTGAGAACTTTCAAAATTGTATTTCATTATGCTAATATGCAATATAAATAAAACACAAATATTAGAATGGTTCAACACTTAATGGTTCAGACTGTTTGTTCCAGCCTCTGAATGGTTCAGATGTCTGAATGGTTAAGTATTATACAAAGTCTGAATGGTTAAAACCTCTTATCTGAATTGATCAGACATTTGCCTCTGAATAGTTAAGCAATATACTAGCTCTTAATGGTTCAGACCTCTTACTGGTTCAACACTTAATGGTTCAGACCTCTTACTGGTTCAACACTTACGTATTCAGAAGTTGCCAAACAGCCCCTAAGTACTGAACCATTCAGACATCTGAACCATTAAGAGGTTGAAACAAACAACCCCTAATTCTTTATGGTGATCCAACCTTTCAAAAATTCGACCTCATAGTTTTTGGGAAGGTTCATTTAACAAAAACTCTCACAAAATAGACTTGTTCAAAATATGAACAGTCACTTATTTTTGTAAAAATGACCGATCATTTTCTCTTGTCTCTCAAATAATATGTTGGGATGTTTTATATTTGATCGGTCATTCTTAACAAGGCCAATCATGATCGATATTCAGACCATTTTGGCTTTTGGATATGAAATATACCCATCAAATCCAAAATGGGTTCTAAAACGAAAGAACTCTAAGTAACCCTTCTCCTCCGGTTCCAGAACACTCCCACATGTTCGATACCTTAACTTGCAATGCTCGTTTAGGTACTGAATCGAAACTGTATCCACCATTTAGCCAAATCCCAGAATCGGAGGGCGGAGACTAGAATAGTACGAGAACGGTTCAAATCGAGTCAATCAACCCAGACTAATTGTAATCGCATTGCGGGTTGGTCTGGTCGGGCCAAAGAAGTATTGGATCCAATGGGCCAAATTCGAAGCCCACCAGGAAAAACCCAAAAGAACAATGTGGCCCACCACAGTGAAGTTATGGCTGCAAGTGGTAACGCATGAATGAGTTGGTGAATCACGTGTCGCGGCGTGGTGTGTGGGAAAGAAAGGCCGCCGAGTCCGCCTCCCGCGCACGTTAGCCAACTCTCCTATAACCTAAACGGCGAACGGTGCATCTTAGCAAGCTCCTTTTCACCCGATTCTTATCTGTTTTGCTCAGAATGGGCTTCTTCCACAAGGCTTCCTGACTGTCTCCCTCTCCCACTCTCATCCGCAGAGAAAAAAAAAGAAAAAAAAAGAATTAGGGTTAGGGGTTTAAGCAAAATTAAGCCGCCCACTAGTCACTGTGTTATCTCTTGCATCCTCAAATTGAATATGTAATTTAAAAGGGGGTTTTTAAACCCTTTTTTTTCCTTTCTTTTCAATTTTGAATTGCTGCCGTTTTGGTTTCTCAATTTAAAGATCGATCAATGCCCGAGTATTGCTTCACCAACTATCCAGTGGGAAACATCAGGACAATCGAAGCTGTTTGGGTTTTGTTCTCAGAAAAAGAGAGTTTTTCGTTCAATTGATTGATTGCTTTGGAATTCTGCTTTTCCATGGCGCCGGGCCGGAAAAGAGGCGGCGGAAGCAAAGCTGCTTCCGCCAGGAGACAGTGGAAGATAGGGGATCTCGTGCTTGCTAAGGTCAAAGGCTTCCCAGCCTGGCCTGCAACTGTAAGTTGACGCTTTATCTTTTGTTTGAATTTTTCGCCCCATTCTTTCTTTCTTTTTCCT